GAGGGGGGGGGGGGGGGAAGAAATCACCACTCAATCACTATTTGTCACACCAACCTGTTACCTCCATCATTGTCATTGACCCAAATCAAGTATCATTATTTATGTTTCGACTAAACATTGCTTTGCTTGAGATCAACATGACAAGATTCGAATCTATGGCTATCTATACCCAAAACAGATGAGCTAACTAGGCTGCACTACACCTCGTCTCCCCCCGAAGCATATTGAGTAAAAAATGTCTTAGCCCTTGTTTGAGTCCTATTTTTCCAGCAAAATATATTCTTTAATAGTGATTTGACACCATTTCAAACACACATTCTTCAATAAAATAATATTATACGCAAATAAAAAACATTTTCTTATTTTTTAACTACACATTTTCAATCAATACACTATTCAAAAATTCATTTTCTTATCTAAAATGTGGCTCAAACAAGGGCTAAATATAAATTCAGTTCTTTTTGTAGTTCAACTCGATAATCTCGTCAAACCCAACTTCAATCTGATCAAAATCGATCTCAAATTGTTTTATTAAGAAAATGCAGGTTCAAGTTTCACTTACATTTGGATTACTTTTAGTAATTCCACTGTATCACGTGCAATTAATATTTCTTCCAATTACTCACTCGTGATAATAATGACACTGCATTTTTGGCCAAACATGCGGATAAAACATCGAAGAACGTTTTCACATTAAAGAGGTAAGAATCACATTGCTGTGGTACAAGTAGAGTCGTACAAAAAGTATGAAATATCATGATGGCACATCTCTCTCAAATTAAATTAGAGTCTATTTGATTGTAAAGATAAAAAAGGCAAATCAATTACATGTAAGTTGGAAAAGAAAAAATCACCAAAACCATAGAAATGCATTTTCCATGAAATTGGCTAAAAACATGCTTTAAGTGTTTAGTTTTCACATTAAAGAGGTAAGAATCACATTGCTGTGGTACAAGTAGAGTCGTACAAAAAGTATGAAATATCATGATGGCACATATCCCTCAAATTAAATTAGAGTCTATTTGATTGTAAAGATAAAAAAGGCAAATCAATTACATGTAAGTTGGAAAAGAAAAAATCACCAAAACCATAGAAATGCATTTTCCATGAAATTGGCTAAAAACATGCTTTAAGTGTTTGTACATTGAAATTCGAACTCCATTTTCACTTTCGTATCAAACAGTCAAAGTAAAAAACGAATTCCTCGGATGTGACATTTTCCATGGAGTTCACTCCAATCCAACGAACCCTTAGAGGGAGAAACAGTTCATAAACTCAGTTTTGTTCTCCACATCTCCCCAATGACCTTTCTCGGAGTTGGATCATAGGGTCCTTTGTCTCGTTGCCCGGATGTAAAATACAGCATACCATTCCAAAACCCAACTAGGGTGGTTTTCACACGATATGGAAGTTTTCCAACCACTGACCACTTCTGTCAACGTCAAAACCAAGAATTGTAGGTAAACAAGAAATGGTGATGATTCGAGCTTAAGAAGAGATTCAATTAATATCTGATGACCCAAGTTTAAGAAGAGACGCATTTTAATATCACCATTACAACAAAGTCGCCTATGGATTATATAAAGCAAAGTAAATATTACATCCTATTTGTACGATTTCTGCAAGTTAAACAATGTAATGCCAGGAGCACGTAAACATCGCCTTGCTGTATACTGAAGCAAAAACCAAATGACCACAGCCATCAAAAGTCTACATATTGGGTCATTTCTCATTCTCAAAATTCTTATCTTGTTCCACACCTCACAAGAATGACTGTAGGAGTCTAAAACTTAAATTGTCTTCTAAAGGATGACAAAATTGCCTATCTTAAGAAAATATGCATGAAACAGGAAACCCTACTCCATTTTCTGAAAAATGCAAAAACTTATTAACTGTGCACCAAAAGATTAAGGATTCCCACGAAGATCACTAAAGCATCCATACGAACCATATGCCTGTCAGATTCAATCAATAAAAGAAATTTTAGAGCTAAGAGAAACTATTAGGGATATATTTCGATTTAATGGCTCAAAACTAAGCAAAGGAACATCAATTAAGTAAATGCTTTCAAGCTCAATAATAGTATTTAATCTGTGAAAATATTTTTGATGCTTAAACCTTCTTTCGGCAAACAAATTTATAAATGATTTATAAGTTTGTCAAAATCAAAGAGTAATTTCAACCAGACGTTCATAACTACTACTCATTATTATCTACACAGTTCGTGAGACTCATTACTACCACTCTTACTATTCCTGTTTCTAAACCATTTATAAATTTGCCAAACAAAGACTAAATATTTTTCACAAGACAAGAAGACAATACCTGCGTGTCTAACTGAAACTTGAGAATTTCTCCCACAAGTGTCATCTTTTTTGTCACAGGATGCTTATCTGTCGTGCCTCCGACTATAACGATTGAGTTGTTGACGATTACCCAAGCAAACTCAATATGAGAGTCGGGCTTCGGCATAGGAGGAAGCACCTTCCACTTCATATCATCATCTAGCATGTAGACATCATCATACACAACCTGCACAAAATAATCAAATATGTACCTCAAAATGACACGACCGTGATGAATCTCAGCGTGTAAGCCCACTCTCTATTTACTTCCAAGATCTTGTTACATTTTAATGCTTGTTCTCTTCTTCCATTTTCTTTATGTTGGTTGTTAATGGCGGGCTAACACTGCCACCTTTTGAAAACAACAGTAAGAAGAGTACCTAATTGGTATGAAGTGTAGGATTGGTTTCGTATAGTATTGGTGACAGAGTAAAAGTACATTATCAAACCACCATTGAAAACACACCTGTTTAGCATGCTGGCTAAGCTTAAAATGTGCTTAAACAAGCTCATAATATGTTTCGCTCTAGATCTGAATCATTGTATATGCAAGGACATGCTTTGTTTCTTTGTTCCAAAGTAAAGGTGAATCAGAAACGAGAACTCTACTAGCATCATCAACTGATAAATCCTCACAATGTACATTCAAATACTTTTTTTGTGAAAAAAAGTGGAACCAAAATTACCTCATTCCGACGGGAGCATTTAAAAATGGGGGATCCAGGTTTAGCCATAAAATCACCCTCTTGCCCGCCAATAACGTACAATCGATCATTAACCACAACACAAGCCCTGCATGGTTAAGCACTAAGAAGCTTGAAAGAATGATAATTATGCTTAAAAACCAAAATACTCAATTTGAACAATCATTATCCTAAGTTGAAGCAAAACAACAATTCCAACAAAAGAAAAAAATATATATAAGAATTATTTTCCTCAAGAATATTTTTGCAATGCTTTGACATGCATGTAATTTCAAGGGATGACCCAAAGGAATCTTGGATATTAATGGTTCATAGACTAGTTCAGATGTTTTGACAGTTTTTTCTCTTCTTGATAACCAACAATTTATTCTCACGTGGTATTACCTGGCCAAGATCAAAGCATCAGACTATTAGGAGTAACTGCTTCAGGAATTAGCTAGGAATTTTATGATGAAACCAAGAATATGTAATTGATTTCATTAGTTTTAAGTATTGTGTGAGTGATACACACAGACAAAATATCTTAATATACTAAATGCATAAACAAATCTTGTGTACAAAAATAGGTTTTTTTCCATGTTCACTGAAAAATGTGGTCTGCTCCTCAACCCAATAAAAAAAAAAAAAAATACACAAAGGAAAGCAAAGATGCTGTGGGATACATACATAAGTCAAGGTATGGATTTTATAATTCTTCATAATATAATTAATACAAAGAAGGAGCATCGAGAAAACCTATGAGGTCCACCACGGGGTATGGGGATCTCGGTCTGCCATTCCTTCTCTAAAGCTTTCCCATCTTTCACAGCAATACTCCAATGCTCTAAGGCAGGTGTATGTCTATTCTCTTTGCTGCCACCCATCACATGGAGTCTTCCTCTCCAAAGTTGGGTTGCAGGTGCATACCTGAAAGAACCACAGTAACTTCTTTTACTCAAATTTGAACTTCTTTCCTGCATTATTCAACTCTTAGTCGATAGTACATTATTGTATTCATGCAGTAAAACTTTCACCTCCTTCAGTTTAATGAAAGGACACAATAGGGGTCAAGAAAACCTGCTATTGAGATGCAATAACGTATTATTGGACAAACAAAGATAAAATCCACAAAATCTTCTTTGAATGTAAGGATTAACAATTTCATTTCCACAAAAGAACAGAAAAATGCCATTTTTATCGATAAATTACACAAAGGTCTTGCAGAACAAATAGATTATCACTGAAATAAAAGGAGGGCCAATAGACAGCTTCACCGAAAATACAGAACTGGCAGCTACTACATGCATTATAACCACGTAATGCTTGCTACCTGGGGACTGGTAAAGGAGGCATATCCCGCCATTGCTTTGTCTCTGTGTCCAGTACAAATGTATGTGCTGTGGGCCCTCTACATTGAGGACCATACTGTCCAGTAACTACATAAATATATCTCCCATCAGTTACCATTCCTAAATGTGAATGTGCCATTTCTTTTGGCATATCAAACCTTCCTCCCCATGTGTTATCCATAAAATTGTAAATGTCAACATGTGAATGGACCTTCAAGAAAACAAAACCATTTAAGGCCCACAAGTTTGAATTTATCAATTCATAATATGTAGACATAGGTAAAGAACTGAGAAATAATGGATATAAGTAATACTGTAAAATGATAGTCTGTTGGGACAGGTAATAATAGCTCATATCAGGATATAAACCCATTCAAGGATTCTCATGTTTCATTTAAAGGGTGTTTGAGTTTCATTTTCATGTAAAAATGCATTTTAGAATAGTAAAATTATGGGAAATGTATGGTGGAAAAATGAGGAAAAGTTTTTTATTTACGTGTAATATTATTTTAATAAAGAATGTGTGGTTGAAAAGAAAAGAGAAAAAAATGCATTTTGAAAAAAATGAGTACCAAACGGGTCCTTAGTGACAAGCTGAGGTATAATAATTGTTCCACGGGTATATATCTTAAAATTAGAGTCAATCCGTAAAGTTTTAAGCTTGCTCGCTCACCCAAATAATTTGTAGGATAAATTTGTTCCATAGTTTATCATCTCTACTATAGCAAATTGAGTTTCTAGGAGTTTGCATTAGGTAGCTTTGTAACTTGGTAGATGAATGACATTGCGCTAAATGATAATTAACTTTGTGAAAGTAATCACACAAGAAAATTGGTAAAAGCAATCATGTAGAATCGGTAATCCATCAAAGATAGTTAAACATAAGTTAGGCAGGGAATAAACTAATCAAAACATAAGAGGCGAGGTCAAAATCCTGACATCATTGATGGTTCCATATCCAGCAAATACATATAGAAGATCTTTTATCTGTATTGCTGCACCGTCAAGACGAGGCACAGGTGCTGGTGCCATCTTCTCCCATTTTAACTGTGGGCCAGGCAAATCAGCAAAAGTTGCTGATAGGACTCTCTCATGAACGCCATCCTTTTTGTCTTGCTTACCTGTCCCCTGTAACAGAGAGGATACATATCAGCTATTAAGTTTCAAGTCAAGGATGGTAAAACACTCAAGATAATCCGTTCATATGATTCCAATTCAAGATTACAACTGGATGTATATCTCTAAACGTGGTTCTAGCCTTTTATATGTAAGAATGTGACCACAATATCGAAACTAGAAAATTAGATCAAAAAGATGTTTAAAAGGAATGTATTAAATGAGTAAAACAATAAGCTCCAATATCTTAATGATTTAGGATGATTTCTTCATTATTACTATTATCATTATGCAATGTTGCCTCATTAATGTGTTTAAGAGCATCACAGTACTATTCTAACTCCAAGCTCTTTTCCTCTGGCATAAAATTAATAATTAGATAAATATGCTGCTCGAAAAATCCTAAAGAAAACTCAAACTTAATGAAGCTAACAAAAATCAAATATAATACACACATCAACTGTTAGAATTGAGTAAATAACATAAATACTCAATTTCTTTTCATTTATCTAAACGCATTCGGTT